CATCCATCCATCCATCCATCCATCCATCCATCCATCCATCCATCCATCCATCCATCCATCCATCCATCCATCCATCCATCCAGTTTGTTAAAACAGCTGTAATTGCATAATTTCCTTGTGTAAACCTGATTCAGATAATCTGGACCTTTAATAAATCAAACAAACACAGTTTGTTGGAAGGCAGTGACACAACATGTGCTGTTTATTACTCCATGTGTGGCTTCATGTGCAACAGTATCATGTCATTAAATGTCTTCAAACTAATTTAAAAGAACCACGTGAAGCTTGGATCAACCTTTGGTTTTCCAAACCTAACAGTTTGAGCTGCAAGCAGTCAGTGTTGCTGCTCGTCAGCCCTATCTAGTTCTATTTCTGCATGCACAGGGACAMGGGACATCCACAGACACACACATACAACACACACTGTTTGATATCTGATCTGAAGCCATCAGGCTGTCGGAGTCTCCATGACTGACGTTACCTTGAAGAACACACACACACACACTCACACACAGCAGAGCGCTGACGGACAGGACGATGATGGGCAGTGGTTCCTGCCCTGCACCTCATCAGAGCAGCAGGTCTGTGACCGAGGGCAGCAGCTCAGCTAGCTGCGACTCCACGCCGCCCAGCTGAGTGACGGGGTTGCCACGAAGATCGAGGCGCTTCAGCTTGGGGCAGGAGGCCAGAGGCTGAAGATCTGCCACTGTGGAAATTTCTGTGTTTAGTTAATGAAAATAAGTCCTTCCTGTATGTCTGAGTAACTGTGCTAAATAAGAGCTGTGACGGCAGCCGTGTGAAAAATAAGATCTCTGTAATAAATACAACAGCAGGAYGTGAATAAACTCTTCTAAATATAAAACAAAAAATTCAGCTGTCACTACAGCCCCGGTATCATAACCTGAGGACCACATTAATTCATCTGTAGTGTAGAAGAGGAAGTGAAGCATGACGGGGGTGGGGGGTGATCTGTTGTTAAGTGTCTCTTCCTTTCTTAATGAAGCTGCCGCTTTATAAAATTACAGGGTGTGGTTTTTTTCTCCGCTCGTTTAATGACTTGAGTTTCATGTGATGCATGTGCTGATCGGGGCGAGCTCATTATCTGAGCAGTTTTTACCAAGTGTCAGCTCGGCCCTGCAACTGGACGAGTTCTTACATCAGCCGGTGTCGAGCCGCTCACACTCTCTACCAAGGTTGTTTGGTTTTTTTTTTAACCCAGCCACTTTGTGTGTGTGGAGTCACTCGTACCCATATCCACAAGTTTCCTGAGAAGTTTATGTAGGCTGCCATGACAGTCACTAGCCCCGCCCACACTCTTCGCTTTTTCCGGTGCGCGAGAAATTCCTTCATTCAGATAGTTATAACAACTAATTTAGTTTGTTTTTGYTTTAACTGGCAGCTTGAGCAGTTCAATCATGAGTTCATGTTCATCTTGTTTGTCGGCTGCAACAACTGAAGAAAACTGAGAAACGCTTTATAAACATTTTGTTTGGAACAAGACGTAGTAAAGCATTGCGTCCTACAAACTGCACTTTAAGCTGGCAGTGTGCTCGCTCGGCAGCCGACTGGTCGACGCGCCGTCACGTGGTTGTTCAGCGTTCGTTTTCGCACAGACTTTTCATAGTTCCTGAGACACCCCGAGCCGAGCTCCTTTGCTTTTACTGAATGAAAGCCTACGGTGAATGGTGTTAGCATCAGCACTAACTACTGTTAGCATGTTATTTGCAACTAATCTTAATTTTAAAGAAATATTTTGCCTATGGTTAGCAGCCTCATGCTGGCATAACTATATAAATGGCTTCATCTAACTGTCTCAGTTCTGAGTACACTCAGAATAATAAACAATCTTCTTCTCAACTACGTGCTAAAATATGTTGTTTACATCATGGCAGGTTTAAAAGACGAGCTTAGCAGCGCTCAGGGGCTATAAAAGTGTCCGGTTTGTTTAAATAAAAAATATGTTTAAAAAGTTATTAGAAGCAGTTTATTTATTTTTGTTTATCATTTATTTAAAATGACCGCAGCTGTATGAAACCCTCCAGTTCATCTCTTAAAGTTACTAACGAAATAGCAGCCAGTGAAATTTATGTTTAGAATATGGGGGAGAAACCGTCTATTCACAATACTTCTATAAAATTATTACAATTCTGAGGGGCTTATGAACATTTTACTTCCAGAACAGTTGACATTTATGATTTTGCATGTGTGTGTGTCTTCGGGGMAAGACAAGGTAGTTGATGTCAGTAGTAGCCATTAGCTGACATCGGGACATAGCTTCATCCGTCTGTGAGCAGTGACGGCTGAGCCACTGATAAAGAATTGTCCTCGCTGCTTTTTAAAACATCCTTACGGTATATAAACCTCCGATATGTGGCCATCTACACCAAATTTAAATGAAAACTTCCTTGATAAACAGCGAAGATCTATGCCCCTAATTGTAAACAACATCGCAACCAAAAAAAAAGAGAACAGTGCTTCCGCTATGAATTATGGGTAGTGGTGCGAAATCAGGAATACTGTGGATAATCCAGTTCCTGTGGTGGGGCAGCATTAACAGGATGTTCTCCAACAGAAACACCAACTTAAGGATACTGTTGTTCTTCAAAGAGACTTCTTCCAGTTTGGGAAGGCAATAAACTCCCTCCAGGCTTTCAATGAAGTTGTTATCAGCTTCTAAAACCTGAAACAACAAAGTGACATCACTGCAGGAAAACAAAACAAAAAAAGAGCCAGTATGTCTTCTCTTATCGGTTGCATCTACTGAGACACAAATAAAACTACTGTCAGCGCTGGACACATTTCTTACTTTACCTACAGAAACAACTTTTTGTGTGAAACTACTGTGTGCATGCTGAGCACTGAGTGACGGCTACAATTTACTCAACTAAACTACTGCAAGCTAAAACAACCTGAACTCAAGATAAAAGCTGAATGTAAACAAGGCTATCTAAAAGCTAAATATAGCTAACCAGTAGGTGGAAGCTGAAAACAAGAGAAGCTAAACTAAAAGGTGCAAAGCCATAGCTAAAAGGAGAAAAAGACTAAACACTAAAAGTTAAATAAGGCTAACTGAAAACTAAAAACTGCTGAATATGAGCACCAGTGACCCTGAAAGAAGAAGCAGTTATAGATACAGGTCAAAAAATTAGAATATCATGAAAAAGTAGATTTATTTCAGTAATT